TACTCGGTATCGTGCGTGGGTGGCTGTTTTCGCAAAATGGCTCGGTCCGCTCCTCGATGGTCCTCGCCGAGGAGAAATGCACGCGTCCGAGAGCGACGCCGGGCCTCGGGGCGCCAGCGATGTCTATAGCGAAAGGCGCCCCCCCCCCCCCCCCCCCCGACCGCCCGCCAGGGGCGGCGGAAGCGGCGGCCACGCCGCCCCGACGGGGCAGCGGCATCCGCGGCAGACGGTGGGGTGGGCCAAATTGGTCAACAGCGTCGCCTGGATCGACGCAGGGCCTGGCCTACCCGGGGCGCGCGGCCACCCCGCTGGAGGTCGCGAGCGCGCAGATCTAGAAGAGGGCAGAGCAGCGGGCCCCCGTGGGATGGAGAAGCTGGGTGGCCACGCAAGGTTGGGGATGAATTTTAACGCTGCACAACCTGCCGCAGCCGCCGGGCACTATGGGGGCCGTTCCCGCCGCCCGCCGCCGCCGGCGACCCGCGCGAGCCCGCCCGCCCACGGCGGGCAGCGGGCGACGCGCTACCGGACTGGGCGGTCGCGCGGCACGACGCCGGCGACCCAGGTGCGCCGCAGTGCCAGCCACCGAGAGACCTTGAGTTCAGCGACCAACTCATCCCGAAGCCAGACGAGTGCACTCGATGCCTGCGGGCGCTTCCGCGCGGGCACGGGGCTGGTAGAAGCCGACAGGCGCCCTCGCTTGCCGCGAGGAGGGCGGAGTGCTGAACGCGGTGGGCCCGGGCGCGCGCGGCCGCCGGCATCCCGTTCTTCCCGGTGACGAGGCCAGCGGGCGGGTTCCGCAACCTGGGGCTCGTCCATGAGCTGGCCCGCGCGCGGGGGGCCATCGCGGCCCCCTGCCCGATGCTCTGGGAGGCAGCCAACCAGCGAGCCCACGACTGGGCTCGGCGAGGGGGGTCGTCCGAGATGGCGGCCTGCGTGCAACATTTATTCTGCGAGGCAGCGCGGCCCGACGGCTGCGAGAACGCGTTGGCCTCATGCGGCCTGGTCATCTGCTTCGAGCGGGTCGCGCGCGCGGAGGTCTGGGCGGCGGGCTGCAGCGCCGTGAAAATCTACAGCGCGGCGAGGCGCGTCGTCCTGGGCGGGTGTCGCGCCGAAAACCACGCTAGGCAGTCGGTTTGCGCCCTTCTGCCTAAAGATGGTCGCCATCATCGAGCTGGGCGACCTGGCGACGCAATTCCCGCGGGCTGACAACTGACTTTTCTTCGACGACCTGGCCGCCGCGACGCGGGATTAGTGGGCCCCGCCAACGCTCCGGGTAGGTGGTCTAACGGGCTCGCGTCTTCCCCCCGCCAAAATCTCTCCTTCGCCTGCCCGGGGGATGTCTTGAATGTCTGTTCTCTATAACTGAATCTATAAACCGCGGCCGCGCCCCCGGGCGACGGACAGCCGACCGGGGCCAGAAGGGGGCCCCTCCACCCGCCGCCTCGCCCAAAAAGCAACATGAAAATCTTGGGCCATGCTGGGGGGGCCGCGAGCACTGTGCATTTCTTTTTAACGGGGGCGGCGGGGTGCCCGCGCACTGCCCGCTGCGCGCAGGGCCAGCAACCCTGTATACAGAAAACAATGCAACGCGCGCTTCGAGGCAACGTCGGAATCACGCACGGGCACCCCGCGATCACTGCAGTGGTTTTGACTGGGGCGGCGGGGGACTTCGCACGTTGCCCGCCGTGCTCAGGCCCGCCAGACGCCGCGATGGAAACCGAGCCGCGACTGCGCCCTGGTTGTCGACAAGGGTGGTGGGGCCGACGCGTTCCCCGATGCGTGCTGCCGCGTGCGCGGGCGCACCTGGCGCGCTCTGCGCGCGCCCCTGGCGCGGCTGGAGCACGCGGCGCACGTGGCGCACGTGGATCACGCGTTGCACCTGGCGCACCGAGCGTGCCCCGGCACGCTTGGGCCACAGAGGTAAGTGCCTGGCGCACCCGGCCCGTCTGGGCGTTGCCCAGGTGTCAGTCCGCGCGATCAGAAGCATCCTCAAGATCGCACCTGAATTCTATCGGCAGCTCCATGAGTCGGACCCGCGACCCCGCGTAGACTCGCCATTCCTGGACCTCCGTCGCGCCGTGCCTCCAGATGGTCGTCTTCATGCGTTCACCCCAAGCCTCCGGGCCATGGCCTCCGGGCCGCGCGAGGCCCCGTCAGCCGCCGTGCCATGCCGCTGTCGCCCCGCGCCGCGCGGCGGCGGCGCGGCGGCGCGCGGCGACCGCGAAGGCGCCCGTGACAGCAGCGGGCACTCAGCCGGAGAAGGCACCGTGAGTCCCATGACCTCCCGAGTGGCAGATTTCCTGCTGAGTTCGGCCGAATCCCGCGGGCTTGGTTACGACGCGGTGCGCCGCGAGGACATTGTAGGCATGCGTACTTTCTTGGGCGGATTAGTTGTTGAGTTCCAGAGGACTTGTCGGGCTCTCGTTGCGGAGCGCCCCTGGAAGGTTCAACTTTTGGGTCGAAAGATCTTCGGGGCCGATGGGCAATATCAGAATTTTGAATACTATCCGGGGCTCGCGGTCGACGCAATGGGGCGAGTTGCCATCGCCCCAGGCCTCTCGGCATGCATTCTGCCGAATAGGAGCAGGGCTTCGCAGCGAAGGGTGGCTGACGCCGGCGCCCCGAACAAAAAGCTGGAGCAACTGGGCGACAGTCGGTCCATAATCAATCGTTCGCGTCGGCCGACTGCTTGCCTTGACATGCCAGCTTCCCGCGCGCTGGATTGGCTCGCCTCGGGGTTCCTGCCCGCCCGCGCCAACGTTGACATCGACCGCGCGGACGCGGCCATCGAACTGACCGATGCATTTCCCCAGCGTGCGCCTTTCACACCCGTCATGTGGTCGGGGGCGGACGTCAAGAGCTATTTCGCCAACGTTCCACGCGCACTTGTTCGTAAAACCTTGACATTTCATGGGTCAGCAGCCACCACCTCGGTACAAGCCGCGCGTGTAGCGCGCCTGGGCACAACAAGCGGTCTCTGCGGAGGATTGCCCTCCGTCCCGCATCCACGACCACCACGCCGCGCTGTTGTCAGACGATATCGAATGCCTGATCTTCCACCACTTTGAGACGGGCTTCCTCCTGCTAGGAGCGATCATCGGAAAAGACGCCGAGGGGTTCGTAGTGGGCACTCTTCAGGTCAAAACTTTAACCAGGATGGCCCTTGCGTTTCTGGACGTCGAATATTATTACGCATCGCATGGTCTGGCACTGTCGCCGCTGGGGGGCCGGGGTCGTGTATGCCCCCCGGGCGCTCCATAGGATCACCGTGATAGTCTTCGAAATTCGGACCATGGTCGACTACGATATGCTGTGGACGGGGCCGCTTTCATATCCCCGGGGGACACTGAATACATCTCCGCCGTTTTGTATGGTTTGGCGTGGCTGCGCTACCCGCTTCCGCTGGAAGCCGACACTGGCTGCACATTTGTGGGAGTCGATTTGGTGCCCTAGCTCGACGGCACGGTCTGCACGTGCCCATCTACCAAGGCGTTGGGGGCGGGCACGGGGCGCATGCCGTTCTTACAGCCACGTTCCCCTGTCAATGAAGAGATGGCTCGTACTCGGGGCGGTGGCCAGAGTGCGGGACTACACCCGCCCGCTGTACTCAGTGGAAAGCGTCCTGGATTCGTTCAAGCGGCACCTGCATGGGGCAACTGGCTAACCAAGTGCGCTGTTGGAGAAGCGGGTCTCGGAAAATCCGTGCAGGGCTGAGCTTGCGTAAACACCACCTGTCGCTATGGCGCTGGGCCGCGAGGTGAAATTGTAGCCACTTCAGCGGGGGCCCTCATCCCCCCTCTCCTCCCTCCCTCCTCCCTCTTCTCCCTCCTGCTCCTCAATGCTATGAGAAGACGAGGCTGGCCACTGACGCGTTTTTTTGACGCCGCCTCCAATGGGATATCCCGTAACATGCGCACGCCGCCTTTGAAAGGGCATTCCGTGACTTAATACGCCACTTCCGAGGTGCATTCCGTGACTTACGAGCTCTGGCTGCGCAGAGCCATGGTCGTAAGCAGTGGCAAAAAAACGCATGCCCTGGCAATCATTGTCACAAGTGACCCCCCCTGCGGCTGTTGAACTAATTTTGACGTTCCCGTGGGGGTGGGTCTTTCTTGGGGGGCTCCTTGACGGGTTTTTGTACCCCCCCCCCGGAAGGGACGAGAGGGAGGAACTCAATGCCGATCCGCGCAAAAATCCCCACCACCACTGGCGTAGTACGTGCGACGCCAAGGGGGGGCGGCCCGTCCACTCATCTCCCCACCACAGGGGGGGGTGCGAAGTCCCTGTGGATGGGACGGGGTTGGCACTGAGGGGCATCATAGGCCCTTCTAGAACCAAAGGTGGGCACCATACGCCCGCCACCACCAACGGAGGTACACCATATGTCCTCCACCCTTCATTCCATTCAACATTCAGTGAACCTTTCAGTTTGATGCTTTAACCTCTCTCAGCAGGCCTCCCGAATCGTCTAAACTGCTCCTCAAAGGCCTCGAACCCCGATCCTGCGTTTGCGGCGTCCCCCAGTCTGTGACGTCCCTCCGTCTGGGATGCCCCCCGTCTACGAGGGCCCGAGTTCGAAGAACCAGCAGCGGCACAGGCATAAAACTTCAGGGGGTCCGCATCGACTTCCTGGGTCGGCGCTGAGATCCCCTCCCGCGACGCGCGGAGCGCGCCACGCGCTGCGCTGGAGGCACTAGCACGGGGAGCCCGGGCGCCGACCCGAGACGTCTGCGAGGACCCTCCAACAAGTTCAATCGCGTCTGCGCGTGTCGTTGTTGGTTCCTCGGCCGAATGTTAGGAGGCAACTACTGGGAGGTCTTCGTCGGAAGGACAAAGGAGGATTGAGCCCCATTGGGTGGCTGATACGCCAAATCAGGCCGCGGACCCAGCGGGAGGATTGAGCGGGATCGCGCCGGATTCCGGACCAGGGCAAAGTCAGCCCCTGACCTCCCAGGGGTTGCATCCGCACGAGTGGACGTGGGCAACGGTCGGGCTCTGGCTCACGCCGTGGAGCCCGAGGTCCCGTCGAGCTCCGACGCGGCCCCCAGGCGCGCCGGCAGCCACGGCGCGGGGGCCTCGGTGAAGAGGGCGCGGCGGCCGCTCCTCGGCCTTCGCCCCCTCGTGGCTCGCCCCCGCGCCCTCCTGCTCGGCCCGCCTCTTCTGCCTCCTCCTCCTCCTCCTCCTCCTCCTCCTCCTCCTGCAAGTGCTATGCTGGTAGCGCTCGTTGTGACGTTGGCCACCCATGAAGCGCGAACTTGTTGCGTTCAACTTGTAGCGTTCACCTCCTCCTCCTCCTCCTCCTCCTCCTCCTCCTCGTCCGCCTCCCGGGCCGAGGGCTGCGGAGGGCCGATGATGAGAAGTGGGGGAAGAAGGGTGGAGGGGGCGGAGGGCGGAGGATCCTCCGCCCTTCTCCTCTCCTCCCTTCTCCTCCTTCTTCTGCCTCTGGCTCCTGCTCCTCCTCCTCCTCCTCCTCGTCCTCGCCCTCAGCCCTCCCTCCACGAAACGCTTGAGGGTCAACTACAGCGACGAGCCACTGCTCGAATGCACAGCGCCGCTCGCGCTCGCCGAGGGGCGACGCGGGAGACAATGGCGATGGGGTTCGGCAATGGCGAGCGGTGGCCACGTGCCTCCGGGAGGACGGGATGCGGCGGCAGCCAACTGCAGAGGAAGGCCTTCGAGAGATCACGCTCTCGAATTTGGGCTTACTGCAGACGGCCGTATGGAAAGATGTGGCAAGCTTCCGCAATGCGGAGCACAAGGGGCCAGGGACAAATTCGGCGAAAGATTCCCGAGCTTGCGTGCTGGTTCTTCTCGGGCTCGTGAAGCCAGACCTCCCTGGGGCGAGGGCCCTGGGCGAGCGCCTTCGCGCGATGCCGAAGACAACGACGATTTTGGCGAAGCCTCTGCTCACTCCGAGACCTTGGAAGAGGCCGGATAACATCCGTGACCTGGCATCCTGGTTTCAGGCCGCTCGCTCATCACTCTCGTGCCAGCTGTGCACATAGAACAGGGTCAACAGAGAGGCATGAGCATACACATTCGAAGGTCCGCGGCGGTTTTCTTGGGACGGCGATCTCCCCCTGCGAGGCGCCGCCAGGGCGGGGAGGTCCAATGCCGACCAAAGAAATCTGCGAGGACATCCAAAAGTACATTTTCATGCAAATAGTTTCGTTCGAGTATCTGCCGGCCCCCTTGTGGGGCCATCAGGCTGCGAGGCTCAAGTTTCAGTACCCTGCACCAGTTCCATTTTCCAGTCTCCGATGTTACAGTCCTGCTTTCTGCTTCCTGCTGTAACTTGATGAAAACCGCGCGAGAGGGGGGAACCGAAAACGCCCAGTTACCTTCCCCGAATCGGGTGCTCTGAATTCCTGCACGGCCGTGGGACACGTGAAGATACATAAGATTCGCGCTCCCGACGCAAGAATCCCTCGCAAATTACTCTGTATGCGCGCCCCCGAGACCACAATCCCCTGCAAATTGCTCCGCATTCCCGTCCACGAAGCCACGATCCCTTCTAAAATTCACCATATTCGCGCCCACGAGGCCACAATCTATCGCAAATGACGCTGCATTCGCGCCTCTGGGGGCCGCGATCCCTTGTAAATTACTCCGCAGTTGCACTCCCGACGCCACGATCCTTTGTAGATTAAGACACGCTCGCGTCCCCGAGGCCACAATCCCTTGCCAAGGAGGTTTCCAGGGGAAGACTGCTAGAATTGCAACACGAGTTTCATGGCAACGGTGGTGTTACAAATGATGGCGCAACTGCTTGACCCAAAGATGAAATCCGCCGACCCTGTCGGCGTGTGTGAGGGGTACTTCCGTTCGACTCGTCCTCTCCGTCATTCGTTCGGTCTCCGACACGACGCTCCTCAGCAAAGTTCGAACACATCGTCGGAACATCGAAAGGAAGCCCCTTCCCTTATTCCCTCCCCCGCCGGGAGGAGAGGGTCCAGGGTGGGGTGGGGTGGGGGCATCCGGGGGGCTGCACCCGGGTCAAATACAACGGCCTGCCTCCCTGCGGCGACCCAACAAACACATACGAGCTCCCCGGCGACGACGGCGACGGCGGCGGCGGTGGCGACGACGACAACGATGATGACGACGATGACGACGACTGCCTCCGCAATTCCCCCCCCCCTCCTCCTCTTCCTCCTCCTCCTCCTCCTCCTCTTCCTCCTCCTCCTCCTCCTCCGCCTCTTCCTCCTCCTCCTCTTCCTCCTCCTGCCCTCCTCCTCCTCCTCCTCCTCCTCCTGTTCCTGCTCCTGCGCCTGCTCTTGTTCCGGTTCCTCCTCCTCCTCTTCCTCCTCCTCCTCCTCTCGCTGCGGTCTTTGCGTTCAGGGGTCCGCCCCTGGAGGTCCTCCTACAGCTAATTCCCCCCCCGACCCCCCCCTGCCCCTTTGTCGCCCTCCTCAAACTTCTGAGCATCCTGCTCATTTTCCTGCTACTCCACCGCGTCCTCCACAACCTCCCCTCTGCCCCTCCTGCTCTTTATCCTCCTCTTCCTTCACGTCGTCTTCGTCGTCCATCGCCTTCAAGGTCGGCGGCAGTGGCCGCAAAGCCTCCGCAATAACTACACGGCCGAACTAATTCATACATGCGGTGCTTCGGAACACGATGTTCTGTTTCGCATCCCGGCCATGTTGTCGTCCTATTCCTCATAATTGTTCACATCCTCCTTCTCGTGCTGCATTTCCTCGTAGTTCCGGCGAGCCCCAGTGAGCAAGAGATATGGGTGATTGGGACGGGATGGCGGGAGGCCATCGTGTTTTCATATGTTAAGGACATCGTTCGATGTACCAAAAAGCGTAAGCCGCTAGTCATCTCCTCTATGTCCTGTGGCAACTGCGTCAACAACCCGATGTCGCAGAATGTCCCCAACGGGTCCGACATGAGCCAACAAATCGTCAGCAGGGACAGGAACAAGACAGCCACGCGCAAAGCATCAACATGCTGATGATGCTGCTGCTGATGATGATGGTGATGATGCTGCTGCTGATGGTGACGACGGGCAAAGGGCGCCGAAAGTAGGACGACCCACGAGGTATCCCAGGAGGCCGATGGGGCCCTAAGACTGGCCGAAGAAACCCCAAGAGTCCCCTAAGAAGTCTCTCGCAAACCCCCCAGAAAGCCCGCGACTCGCTTGCGAACGCACAACTGCAACGAAACGCTGAATGGAATGTCGTGGGGTCTCTAAACAATTATCGTTCTTGCGTGCGCTAGCCCAAGCACACCCCGAACTGCAAGATCGTGCAATCTCGATGTGCACTTTGTGTCGTGCCATCCGTGCGCGTTGCACTATGTAGTACAACACATCAAGGACGCTTTGCAGATAGCCGCCCACCGCGACGAGGTGCTGCAGCAGCTGCGGAGCCTCGCCAACCTCCTTGCCAAAGGCCACGCCCCCTCCGGCGCGGCGGACTACCTGGCTGGCGCCTCCCTGGTGGCCCTGCCCAGGAAGGACGGCGGCCTTCGACCAGTGGCTGTGGGCGAAACCGTGCGGCGCTTAGTGGCGAAGTGCTTGCGCAGCCAGGTCTCGGACGCCGCCCGAGACCGCCTCGCGCCCCTGCAGATCGGCGACGCCCTTCCGGGCGGCTGCGAAGCCGCGGTCCACGTTTCCCAGCAGTGGTTCGCACGCCACGCGGGCAACAGGCAGAAAGTGTTCGTCAAGCTAGACTTGAGCAACGCTTTCAACGCCCTGGGCCGCCAGACACTCTTGCAGGCGGTGCACGAGGAGCTTCCCGCCCTGGCGCCGTGGGCCTCCCAGTGCTACCTGGCCCCCTCCGTGCTCTGGTTGGGCACTCCGTTCGCTCTGAGTGCGGCGTGCAACAGGGAGGCCCTCTGGGACCGCTGCCCTTCTCCCTGGCGCTGCAGCGCGCCGCAGAGAGGACCCTCCTCCAGCCCGCCCACGCGGCCGAGGGCGCCGTGGACCTGACCTTCTTCCTCGACGACGGCGCCCTGGCTGGCGACTGGCAGGCAGTTGCGCGCCTCCTCCACTTGCCGGTGGGAGAACTGGCAGCCGTGGGACTTCGGCTAAGCACGGGGCCGGGGAAGTGCGAGGTGGTCCCGACCGGCGGGGGCGACAGCGAGGTGGACCTGCAGGCTTTCCCCCCTGGCTACCGCCTGCGCGCAGACGGCTGCTTTGAACTCCTGGGTGCGCCAGTCGGCAGCGACGTGTTCTGCCGCGAGCACACCCAGCGGCGAGTCGACAAGGCCACCGAACTCCTCGACGCACGTGTTGTTCTGGAAAACGCCCAACTCGCGCTTCACCTGCTGCGACAGTGTGGTGGCTTTTGCAGGCTGAGTTACTCGGCCCGGGTCGTTCCGCCTGGCATGCACACGGAGGCGCTGATTGCTCTCGACAACGCAGTCCGGGCCAGAGCTGAGCACTGGCTTCCCCAGCGCCGAGCTCGAGCGGCCGGGTTTGCTGCAGCCCCGCCAGCGAGGCGAGGGCCCCCCCGAGACGGAGGAGGACGGCGGCGGGCTCGACGAGGGCGCCCAGAACCCGGCAAACGTGTACATCCCCCGTTGGCGCAGCGGCGTCCCGGCCGCCCTGGACTTCGCAGTCACCTCCGGGCTGCGGGGCGACCAACTGGCTGCCTCGGCCGCCGCGCCCGGCGCCGCCGCCGAGCGCTACGAGGAACAGAAGCGCCAATTCCTCGACACGGCGCGCAGCTGTGGCGCGTGATGGAGGCGCACGGCGGCGCCTGGGGGAAGGAGGCACGCCGCGCGTTGGCCGTCCTGGCGAAGCGCGCGGCGGACGCCACTGGGGAGGACCCCGCGCAGGCGGCGGCGGCGGAGCACGCCCAGCGACTTTCGCTTCTCCTTCATATAAGGAGAATGTGCGGGCCGTGCTCCGCAGGCTGCAGGCGCCACGCGGGGAGCCCGCGGCCGCCGCCACGCTGACCGCGGCAACGGCGGCAGAGGCGGCGGACGCCGCATGAGCCGGCGCCCTCTGACCGACGACAACCAAGGCCCCCCGACGACCCACGACGACCCCCGACGACCCACGACGACCCACGGCGACCCGCGACGATCTCCGCCAACCCTCGCCCCTCCCCCCGCCCCCCGCCCG